CCAGTTCTGGTCACCACAATACAAAAAATGCTGCTGCACCCCTAGAAAGAGTGTAGAGAAGAACAACAAAGATGATAAGAGGTCTTGAGACTAAATTATGCAACGAAGAACTAAAGGAATTAGGGGTATTTAGCCTAATGAAGACAAGGCTCAGAGGAGACATGATAGCAGTCTTCCAATACTTGAAGGGCTATCACAGGGAAGAAGGCATTAATTTATTCTCCCCAGCTGCTAGGAGAGGACAAGAAGCAATGGGTGAAGCTTGTCAGAGGATGATTCAACCTGGAAATCAGGAGGAACTTCCTGACAGTGAAAACGATCAATCAATGGAACAGCTTGCTTCCTGGAGTTGTGGGGCTCCATCGCTGGAGGTTTTCAAGAGAAGATTGTACAATAATTTGTCCTACCTTGGGAAGGGAATTGGATTAGAAGACCTTCAAGGTCTCTTCCAGCCCTATGATTTTATCTCATTCCATTTTGGACAAATGGCTGTCCAGGTTTTTTCTTTAAAACCTCCAGTAATAGAGCATCTACAACTTCAAGACATAGGCTGTTCTGTTTCTTATTGGATTCATAGTCACGAAATTTTGTCTTAGTTCAGCTTTGTATCTTGCATTGTAACATTTCCACCTATTGATTCATACCTTATCCTCAGGTGCCAGGGAGAATAAATCTATTCTCTCTTCCCTGTGACATCCTTTTATGTATCAGAATATTGCTATCATGTTTCCTCTTAGTTTTTTCTTCTTTAAGCTAACTATAGACCACTCTTTATAGGATCTTCATGGGATTTATCTATCTTCCCTCCTAGTTTTGTGTAATTTGCAAATTTTATGAACATCCATTTTATTCCTTCATTTAAGACATTTATCAGGTGTACAGGCCCAGGACAGAACCTGAGGTGCCCCACTGCATACCACCTTCCATCTGGACATAGACCCATTAAAGACTACCTTTGACTACGGTTGTTCATTTAACTATGAATCCATTTGATAATGGGACCATCTAGCCCACATTTTTTCCAAAATATCTGTGGTCTACTTTATCAAATATCTTACTGAAGTCTGAGTATCCTATATTTTCAACATCCCCCCATATGTATGACAAGATGTGGTTTTTTCCATTATAGAGTGGAGCACGAATCAATATCTCAGAAGGAAACTGTCCAGAAAGGATTGTGACCATTACAGGCCCTACTGATGCCATCTTCAAAGCGTTTGCAATGATTGCTTACAAATTTGAAGAGGTAATAAACATCAAAAGAAATGTTTGTTTTTACTGACCCTTTCTTGGTAAAAAAAAAAAACCTCTTAAAATGCTTTAAAAAAATATTATAGGAAAAATGACAATCGGTACATATGCACCAGGCCTATCATTTCATTATGGTTTAGTTTGGGATTTGTCTAGAATCGAGCATGGATTCTAATAAATACTCCTACCAGAGAACATTTTGTGATATGGATATATCAGACTGAAAAACATTTGTTCACTGAATTATACAGCCATTTTTTCAGAAGATTAGCAATGCAATGCAAAACAACTTTAACTTCCCCTATCCAGTCGTGTCCAACTCTAAGGGGCGGTGCTCATTTCCATTTCTTAGTCAAGGGAGCCAATGTTGTCCAAATACATTTCTGTGGTCATGTGGCCAGCATGACTATAGGCCAGAACATACGGAACACTGTTACCTTCCCACCAAAGTGGTACCTATTTATCTACTTGCATTTACATGCTTTTGAATGGCTAGGTAGGCAGGAGCTGGGCAAGTTATGCAGTGCTTGGGTCTTGAACCCAGGCTGTCAGCTTTCTAGCTGACAAGGTCAGCATCTTTAACCACTGAGCCATTACACTCTTTAATGAACATTAATACAAAAATTATTTGTTCATATTCTGTTCCTTTGACATCGTCCTAAATGTGCAATAGTGGTAAAGATGAAGAACTATTGTAAAATGTAAGATACAAATTTCCTAAATGTGAAAGATCTGATGGTTTTAACAATTTAGGCAGAAGAAAACCAATTTGATTTTCCCATTTGCTCATTCACAGTTCTACAATGTGATAAAAATGCTTGGTTCATTCTACTAAAGTACCATTCAAACTTCCTCCCTCCCTTCCTTCCTAAAGGATATAATCAACTCAATGAGTAACAGCACAGCTACAAGTAAGCCACCAGTTACATTAAGGTTGGTTGTACCAGCAAGCCAGTGTGGATCATTAATAGGCAAAGGAGGCTCCAAGATTAAAGAAATCAGAGAGGTAAGTCTCTGATTTCCCTATGTGCAGAGAAAATTATTTTCTATGAGAAATAAAAGAAAGGGCAGTCTTTAAATCTCTCTAATTCATAAATCTTCATGAAGTCAACTGTCATAAAGTGAAGCAGGAATCATATTGAGAACCTTCATGTCTTCTTAGGGCAAGAATTTCACTTATAGAAAATTTCATTTGGCCACAATCTCTTTAAGTTCATCTCTGCTATGTTGAAATGGTGTTAATATTAATGACAATAATCCAATTATAAATATATTACTTATATGTTAAAAAAAGTAAATAAATTAACTGGACATTCCCTGGTAATAACTGCCCTCCAGCTGCTCCATTCTGTTTTATGTAACACTGTTGTGGAACCAGCAAAAAATACAATACTAGTAATTTACTTTTATTTATTTATCTAAATTTGTTATGGCCATCCATTCTAGTAAAATTTGGGTGAATTTAAACTGATAGTTAAAACAATGAAAAATGTAAAACAAAATGGAGGGTCTGGGTTAAAAACAACCATAATAATAAAAAGAAAACATAATGGGAACCCCACAAACATATTAATCCCAGACCTGAGAATGCAGCCAAATCTTAAGGTCCTTCCATAACCACAAGAGAGGGGGTACCATTTGTCTCTTGGGGGGAGGGAGGAATGCCATTCCAGAGGGCAGGAGCAGTGATGGCCAATTATCTACAATAATTGGCTACATGGGGCAATTGCCTCACTCTGTATGACTAGCCCATGTTAGCAGAGTGATTTTTAATTATTTCAGATAATATACAATTAAAACCTGGACAAAAATATATTGCAATGGTTATTCTATGATTTATAATCTTCTGTTTGGATTTTATGTTGAAAATTGTCTAGAAAATAAAATTGGTCCAAAATGAGCAGTTGACAGTAATCATCTGATCACGTTATTACTAATCCATTAAAATCTGCCCTGGGTATCAGTCCATTTATAGGCTGAATTCAAAGGCCTGGATGGTTCTCTAAAGCCATCCAAAGGGCATTGGACTAGGCTCCTGAAGTAGGATATTATCTTACACTCTCAATTCATTACCCAAGGCTTTCATTGAGCTGCCTCCATGCCCAGGTCACTGAAACAAGAAGGCATGGTGGGTTTGTTGAATGCCATCCTGAGAGAGGCTCACTTGATGCCTACATTCATATCTTTTTAATGCCAAATTTTTCATTGAGTTTTATTTTTTATTTTACTCATGCGCTGTTCCTACTCTGATCATTTTGGTTCTTATGGATTCACACACACACGCGCGCACACATGCACACACACACGGATGTTTAAGTGCCTGTGCAAAAAAAAAATAAGCTATTTCCTTTCTTCAGTCCACAGGTGCTCAGGTTCAGGTGGCAGGGGATATGCTGCCCAACTCTACAGAAAGGGCAGTGACCATCTCAGGGACCCCCGATGCAATTATCCAATGCGTCAAACAGATCTGTGTGGTGATGCTGGAGGTACAGTCTGTAACAGGGGTAAAGTATAAAGGACCATAAGTAAATAACTGAAAATGGATTGTTATTAGTCCTTGCCTACTCAGGCATTCAATCAATCTGTGGTTCAAAACAGCTCTGGGTGACTACACGAGAAAGTAATTCTATGAGGATTTGGGGTAAAATAGTAGTTCAGGGAGACAAGAGTATGCAGGCATGCAATGCCTACTAGGCCATTTGGTTTATATTGTCATTAAATATACTTTAGTTATAAAAGATGCAGTGAGATACATTTTTGCAGATTTAATATGAAACAATTATATTGTTCAGCAATCCAACAAAACAGGAATGAAAAGAGGAGTGCATTAATAATATCATTTCTATTTTTCTAATTCATTAATTTCCTGCTATGATTTGTATTCTTCAGTTGTCAAGAATATTTCTAACATAAGACTAATACATGGTTTCTATTTGTCTCCATCCTCTGCTTTCAGATGAAAGCTCTCTTGATTTTAGAGTACTTTTATCCAAAAATAAAATAAAGCATTAACACCATTAGGTGATGTGCTGTGGAACTACCATTAAAATGTGTATGCTAGCAAATGAAAATCTGGAAACAAGAATGTGCATTGATAATATTGCATTAGGTGGGAGTTGGAGGTGGATTCATGCTTATGAAAAAATGTTGAAGAAATCAGTGCAAGAGCAGATTCCTGGTAGCTGAACTTAATGAGTAATTCTAGCTACAATAATAGCAGGGTGTTTAAACCTCACTAAAATAAAAGGGGGCTTTCCAAATGTATCTAAAAAAGCAAGTGCTTTATCTGTTTTTATTGCAAATTTTCAAGATAACATTTCATGAATATTTCAGCTAAGACACTACCTAGACCCATCTACAGCATGTTAATTTTTTCATGTAATTAAATAACCTTTCTATGTATAACTTCATTATGCTCCATTGGCTCCAGGCCAGGGTTCATTATTTCCAGAATTCTGTTTTACATTTTCCTTCATGAATTTCACTGTCTTGAACTTCACTGGTAAAATTAATTGTTGCTACACTTAATTAAGAGCCAAGCTGGCGCAGTGGTTAGAGTGCAGTGCTACAAGCTACTTCAGCTGACTGCTAGCTGCAGTTTGGCAGTTCAAATCTCAACAGCTCAGCATTCCATCCTTCCGAAGTGGGTAAAATGAGGACCCAGATTGTTGGGGGCAATATGCTGACTCTGTAAACTGCTTAGAGAGGGCTGTAAAAGCACTATGAAGCAGTATATAGGTCTAAGAGCTATTGCTACACTTGATATTATTTTCTGTTCCTGCTAGATATGTCTTTTCTGTTCCTGCTAGTTATGTCTCCTTAGAATATCCAAATATTGTGACTTGTAATGCTTCATTTATGCAGCATCAGAAATGACATTCATTCTAAATATTAAAGGAGAATTGAAAAATCAAATTATAACAATTGCATATGCAAGTTTTGAAAGAAAGTAAAAATTCTTCAGATTAATATGCAGTACATGAGAATAAAAATAAGGTCCACACAGTTAGATTCGACTGCTATGTGGAGGAGCAAATGTTAATCCAAATATAAGTAACTTTAGCACAGGGATGTGCAATTGTTTCTTGGGCCATATTTGACTTTTGAGTAGTAGCTAAGGGCAGCAGTGCTCCCAAAAGTAGCAAATAAAGCCAGCATTAAAACTTAATTTGATTTTATTTCTAGTTAAATGTCATTAAATACACTTACTTTAGTTACTTTCCAATCATACATTTAGTAATTTTCTTCTCCCTTATTTAAAAATTAGAATTGGGTAATAATTTATGAAAGTCTCAGGAAGCCATATTCACGCCTTTTGGCTAAACAGTTCATACCAGATTGGTGGCTCTTTGGAAAAAAATGAAGTGGGTGAGTGAGCTATATTACTAAACTATTTGCAACAGTTTTTGAAATGTATCTTGTGATTGTCCAAAAATGCTAAAATAAAAAGGAGCAGCTTCCTGGCAGCAGAAAAAATAGAAGACATAATTTGGTCTAAAGGCTCAGAGAAAGTTCTTGGAAGTGGTCTTCAGAGGGCTGGAAACCTTGCAATCTCACAATCCCTCTGCTGCTGTCTTAAGCAGATCATTGATGGAAAGGAGAGCCTTTAACTTGTGCCCAGCAATCCCAAGGCAAGTGAACACCTGGCCACGATTAATGGTCCACTAAATGATTCTAGTTTCTGGTCTGGTAACAAAACTTTGCAAAGTTAACTTTATCAGTTCATATTCAGTATGGTTTTATTTGTACATGTTTGGTTGCCCTCTAACACTCTTTTTGCTATTGTTTTAGGAAATGTGGTCTAATGTTCTCTCTCCCTCTCCTTGTCCCTTTTCCTAGTCCCCACCGAAAGGTGCCACCATCCCCTATCGCCCAAAGCCTGCCTCCACCCCTGTCATTTTTGCAGGTGGTCAGGTAAGAGCCGACCCACTTGCAGCCTCCACTGCCAACCTCAGCCTTTTACTGCAGCACCAGCCGCTGCCTGTTAGTGCACTCAGGTTTTGTTGCCTTTTCACTTGCATGGTGTCATCCCATTCACGTTACACCAGGACAAGTGGACTCAAAGCTCTTTGTTTGCAAAATACTGGGGGTAGCAACTGAATAAGCAGTATGAATACCATCTGGTACAACAAAAGGAAATAGGGATCTAGATCGCACAAGACAGACCCTCCTCAGTCTTTGCTTAAATCACAAGACAATAAATGTTACCAACTAAGATCTAGAACAATAGATATATGTGAGCTGATTCTACATAAATTCATTACTCATAAATATAGTTGGGAGTTGGCTGACCTCACAGAAAGGCAAGAATATTTTCTAAAATAACATTCAGATTGAATTCAGAGATCCCAATACATAGCAAATGGTTGTTCTGTCAACTTTTTTCTAAGAAAAGAATTGGGGCAAAATATCCATCAAATCATGTCACATGTTTATCTATTTGCACTATGGCCTTTACACAGTATTTTAGTGAGATGCTAGCAAATAGAAGGAAAGTAATTCCTGTTTATCTTGTCCTAAAAAATTTAAGCTTATATTTATTTTTACATTCAGTATTACATAATTTATTTACTTCTCAGTGCTCATGAAGCTCATCTTCATGGAATCAGAGAACATAAGATTTGGAAGAGATCTTGGAAGTCATTTACTGAAGTCCAAACCTCCAATTCAGGAATCCACCACTAAATTGATGGTTATGCAGCTTCTGTTCAAAGATCTCCAGTAAAGTAAGACCATCATCTAACAAATCAGTCACTTTCATTGTTGAAGATTAGAAAATTCTTCCTACTGTCCAATCTTGCCATTTCAATCTATTATTTCTGAATCTGCCCTCTCTTCCCCAAAAAATGTCAACCCTTTCAATATCATGTCTTCCTGCAGTTTTCTCTTCTGCAAGCTCAACATACCAGTGCCTCCAACTGTTCCTTACTTCCAGGTCCTCAGTTACCTCTGTTGTTCTCCTCAACATATGCTCAGGTTTGCCCATTTCTTTTCTGAAATGAAGTGACCTGAACTGGATGCAGTATTCTAGATGCTATGTAATTATCAGAGAATAGAGAGGAACAATGATTTCTCTTGATTTAGATGCTACTTCTGCTGATGCAGTCAAGGACTGTATTGACAATTTTGGCATCACATTGTTTTATGTCATGTGCCAACACAATCAGTTTCTTTTAGTCATACTGCTATCCAATATAGTTCCTTTATCCTATACTTGTGCCTTCAATTTGCATTTATCCTTGTTGAAATTCATTTTACTGGTTTCTCCTCACTCTTCCTGCCTGTCAAAGATCTTTGACCCTAATCCCAAGGTAGCCCTTCTATATTTGTATCATTTTGTAACTTGTCATCCATGTCATTTATAAATATTTATTAATTTGTTTGTATCCAGCTTTTATTTTTTTACAAATAACTCAAGGCGTTGAATATATCCAACACATCTTCCTCTCCCTATTTTGCCCCCAACTATCATTTGAGGTGAGGTGAGCAGAGACATAGAGACTGTCCCAAGGTCACCCAGCTAGCTTTCATGGATAAGGTGGAACCTGAACTCATGGTCTCCTGCTTTCTAGATTGGTGCCTTCACCAATAGACCAAACTGGATCTCAAGTACATTGAACAGAATTGAGTCCTGCAGTTTACCATTACCATTTGACATTAATTTTCAAATTGATGGGAAATCACAAATATACAGTTGTTGAGTACAATTATCCAACCAGTTCTGTAATCTATTAATGGCAACATAGTCTAGCCCTCATTTTGCCATCTTCTCTTCTACAATTTCATGGGAGACTTTGTTGAATGTTTGCTGAAGTCAAGATGCATTACATGCAGCATATCCCCATGATCAACTAAATGGTCAGTAAAAAAGAAATCAGGTTTTTGAACCTCATAATATTTGATAGGTCTCTGCTAGCCTTCCAAGCACTTCATTCTTTCCTAAATGCTCACAAAATGCTTAATAATCATTCCAAAATTTTCAATATCAAGATGTCTAACCTGTAATTCCTCAGGTCCTCCTTTTTCCTTCCTCCAGTTCTCTAACGATGTGCCTGTCCTCCATATTTCTATGTTAACACAACAGAATTACACTGAGTCAGCCTTGCACTGAGTTGCAATTTAAACTTGATTTCTTTCTGCAAATATTAACTACTTGCTGATACTTCTTGGAAATTACAACACCCTTTTTGTTTTCTCCCAGATTTTATCTTCAACATTTAGCTTAGTCAAAATTATCCAATGCACCCACAACAGTTTTCTAAACCCATTTTTCCCCTCAATGGAATGATGTGTTATTGTATTTCCAGTGCCAGTCCTCCTTTATTTCCTTTGACCTAAGGATTTCTGTCAACGCTATCAGATTTAGTTAATCTATTTCTCTCAGCTTGTTGAAATTAACTTTGTAGTGTACATTTATGATTATACTTCAATCTATTTCTGAACACTTGAACTGCAAGATTATATCAACATTCTATCTAAGGTTCTCCTTTTTTTGCACCTTCAATGGCTATTCCCTACTTCAACAATGTTCCCTGTTCATTAGGATCATCAGTTCTCTTCTTTCTTCTTCAATTTTCTTGACAATGAAGCAGTCAGAAAGACCATAGAAGAATTTTGGAAACTGCAGTTTTGCCTGAAATGGTTTTACAACACATGTCCAGGTAGTTAACATCTCCTGTTATTAGCATTTCTTCTAAAATTTATCACTGTAAATTATACATCTTTTTTTTTCACTGCTTAACTTTTGTGTTAACTTCAGAAAAACATCCCAAGTGCACTAGGGTCTATTTGAAATACTTGCATCACCCTGTCTTGATTGTTAGCTAATTTAAACAATAACATTTATCTGGATGAATCTTGATTTTCCACATAACAAATAATTGTACATTCTCATTTAATTAAATAAAATGTTCTGATGGTTCAAGTGGCCAAATAAGATTAGTGCTTGAAAACAGGAAATATAATATTTTAAAACAAAGTGAATAATATGGTTGAATCACAAACAGACATACAATCTGAAATACATCCACAGCTAACATACAACAGAGCCTCTGGCTGCATTAAGCTAAGGAACACATAATATTGGGATTTTCTTCTCTGAAATGCTGCTTTAATGATGGTGTGGGGCAAGTTGGATTTGGTAGCAATATGGAAGAAGAGGTCCATCTCACCAAAATTGTACCTATCTATTTTCCTTTGCAACTGACAGAGACTTGGGTGAGCCAGATTGTTAAATAGTAAATTATTTGACAACACACACACCCTCATTTTTTTCTCAATCTAAATCATGTTCTTTTCCTCAGTAATTGACCATTCCTAGCTTACTTAAAAATTTAATACCTTGGCAGTCCCTCTGTTACAATTATATACTAAAAAGAAATAATTAAAGTTCAATTTTGAAGAACAAAAATGCTATAATGGCCCAACTAACTGTAATTGGAAATATTTGTCCAGGGTAGCCTTTTCTCTTAACTCTGAATCTGATGAAAGAGCTTTGGGTCCAGCTTTTGCTTCTCAAAAGGGAGAGTAAAACAGAAGGAACTGTTATAATAAATGAAGTATAAGTCCCTTACGTAGAAGTGCCTCAAGAGAAGGAAACAATTAGGGATCTCCATCACTTAATACTTTATGTTATGGGCTCATTTAGTTGACTAAAGCAAAGGGGGAAGTGCAGAAACATCAACTTTCCTTCCTCCTGCAACAGCACCAAGGCAGTAATAAATATTCAATATACAATGGAGTAATAACAAAACTGCTATCATTTAAATATAAGAGATTCATATGACATTTTCATACATTGGTATTTGTTGGATCTTAATCTTAAAGTCCTAATCCAACAAGCTATGAAAACATAGCATGAGCCAAATCCAATTCAGCAGCCAGCAAGATATATCTTGCAGGAAGGACAATTATTACTCTTTAATCTAGGCCAGTGGTTCCCAAACTTGGCAACTTTAAGATTTGTGGACCAGCAGAGCTGGCTGGAGAATTCTGGGAGTTGAAGTCCACAAGTCTTAAAGTTGCCAAGTTTGGGAACCACTGATCTAGGCCAACACTCTTTGGAATTAGTTTCATACATCTAATAGAGAAATGGCATAGCTAGGGTTTCACAAAACAACTGACATACCGAGCAGAGCTGGCTGGAGAATTCTGGGAGTTGAAGTCCACAAGTCTTAAAGTTGCCAAGTTTGGGAACCACTGATCTAGGCCAATACTCTTTGGAATTAGTTTCACACATCTAATAGAGAAACGCCATAGCTAGGGTTTCACAAAACAACTGACATACTGAGCCATTCTAACAGTCATCAGAATTGATTATTATAGACTCAAACCACAGAAGTCAACCAATTGATAGGTCATTTTCCTTCAGGTAGCAAATTATTTCAGGGTTTGAGGGGAAAAAACATTTGACTGTCTGCATTGGAAGAGAAAATGAGACCTCCACTCACTTTACAAGTAGCCAGTGTATATGCTTTGGTGCTGGATGGAAAAGATGCCAAAAATGAATCATTCTGCTAATAAAAAATACAGTAACACAAAAATAAAAGTGCAAATCTTCACCCATATGTCATAACCTGTGTGAAAGATTCTTGCTTCTTTTATCTATATTTACTTTATTTATTAAAAAAATAGCCCTATCTTATATAACCCAAAGGTTGAATATGTTGAAATGGAAATGGAGAATTACTTTGCTTAATTGCAAGGTAACACATTTTTCTATATTATATGGCTGAATTCTTTTTCCTATTTAATTGATGTCAGTGTCTTCTAATAGGGAACTGATAAAATATAAGTATTAAAACAAAAGTGAAATGAAAAAACTAACAAATGCATTGAAAGAAAATCCCTCCATCTCATCCCAAGCACTAATCACTTTGCTGCAGTTACAGTATTGAACCTTAAGTTAAGGAACC